GTACCAATTTTAATCAATTTCGGTACGAGCTTCTTTCATCCCACCGAATGTGCAGCTGTCTGCTAGATAACATATGCGTCACTGCTACTCTACATAAAATTATAATGCGATCATTTTAATAAGATATCTCCTAATTTACGACGTAAAATCTTACGAAATGGCTTACGTTTTTTTGTATATATACTTTATCTCTCCCCCTATAATTATTTCATCGTACTCATAATTTACATGTCAGCACTATGACTTAATCTGGTTTGATCCGGTCGGATCTTAGGTTATATATTTTTGATCATATTGACTAAGGAGTAAACAAACCTCCTTGATATGTTGCTACCTTCAACTACGAACACTTAAATCCAACTTTAAAAAAAATCAATTCGCAGCCTTTACAAACGGTAATATAATGCTGCTAGGATGCAAAAAAATTATGAGGTGGTATCTCTAGCCAGACAAACTCTTAAATAGAAAAGACTCTGTACCATCAGATAAATAACATATTAAATATTTACAACGTGATCTTGATAAAACTAATGTTAGATTGGTGTACTGCTACTGTTAAAAGCGTAAATACTTTTTAGCCATTAAAAAGGGATAACTGTTAGTATTTCTATTATTAATACAAAGCTACTAAAATATTAGAAACTGGTAGCGTAAGTGATCATCAATGATTTCCAATGTTTTTACGAATACTACTCAGTTAATAAAACTCCTCGTCATGTCATGTGGGTTAACCAAGGTTGATGCTGCTGCAGTATTCGAAATGGTAGAAGTTATAAATAAGTAAAATTAAACTTGATAAAATCAGTGAAATTATAGATTTAGGTACTTATGATGTCTGTACTATGGTCACATAATAGTAAACTAAAGTTACAGCCTATATACACGTCCCACTGCTGGGCATAGGCCTCCCCTCATTTCTGAGAGCGTTTTCTATCGATAATAACATTTTTTCGTTAATAACATTTTTTATAATAGTATATGAAAGTCCATAGCTGAAGATAGCCCCCCCCTAAAGATTGCCTCATTGAAAGATTTTGCTAAAGTTGCCACGCTTGGTACCGCAACCGCATTTTTTTATTATTTTACATTGCTATCAAGAAGATGCTGCCAATCTGATGTTCTTTGTCGCCTCTTACGACACCCATGGAACGATTTGGAGTAGTTTATATTCTTACACGCTCCTTCATTAGTCTCATTTGTCGGTTAATAGTATGTAGTTAGGTTTATATTTTTGAGATAAAGCTTTTACATCCATGCCAACATGTTTTGTTTTCATACATTAATTGAACTTGTATTTTATCTGAGCAGTTGATATAATTCCTAACGATATTACTACAGTTTCGATCTGCATAAATGACATCAGAAGTATAAACATGTAACTTTTTAATAAAATATAAAAGTAAAAGTAAAGTTACAGCCTATATACGTCCCACTGCTGGGCTCAAGCCTCCTCTCATTTCTGAGAGGGTTTTAGGGCGAGAAATAGTCCGCCGCGCTGCCTCAATGCGTGTTGGCGAACTTTCACATGTCTTTAAAATATATTTTTTTCTTATTTCTCAGACATGCAGGTTTCCTCACGATGTTTTCCTTCACCGTCGAGCACGTGGTAAGTCAGCATTTAAAATTGCAATTAACAATTTCATTGGCGCCGGCGGGGATCGAACCCGGTTTGCTCGCGTATTGTGAAATTTACAGCGAGCGCTAACCATCTGAGCTATCACGGCTCACTAAATACATAAAATTATACTATTAAAATACAAAAGTAATATATAATAATGTTCAGATCAGTTATTTACGACATTTGATACCTGTTATATGGTGTCAAGTCGTAAGGAATTATAGTGTAGTAGTACGAGAATATCATTGTTACCATTTTAAGTATGTATTATAAAGAATACGTATTTAGTAATTTTTTTAATTTTGTTTGTATTTTTGTTAGTATATTTATTTTTTAACTTGTAATACGAAGGGAAACATTTTATAACTATGTACAATACACGTATGATTTTAAATAATGTGACTGTGAGTTTAAACCAATTCTAGTATAATTTTATGTCCGTGAACAAAATTCCCAACATGCACTTAAATAGTCCGCTTGGCTTATCCCTGACCACCTTCTAAATTTTAACGCTAGTAGCACATGTTACTAATTGATGTGTCCGCTGGGGAATGAAAACAGACCGATTAAAATCACCGATAGTTTCCGATATTTGTGGTCTTTAAATTGTTTGCTTTTATTGTAAAATATAAAGTTAAAAATGAAATTAGATTTAATAGATTTTTTCTTTAATAAGAGTTTATAACAATACTGCAGTTTACAAATAATTTCTCGTATGAAGAAGAGTATTTATCATAAGAGCAGGGATTCAAAAAATTTAAACATGCTTTTAATTGAAAACTATCAATCTCTGTTCGTACCTATCAATAGAGTTAGTTAGAGGTATTCGATATCTCTACTATTACCGAAAATGTGAATCCTTTCCAATTTTCTTGCACCTTTTCAGCGAAGCCATTGATAACAACGCCTTCTTCATGAACACACAGAAAATGATACATTTCCACGGGAAGGTAAAAGGTGAAGGGAAGCGACTGATCCAGCAAAATTATGGAACGGCATGGAAGATTCTGGTGCTTAGGTAAAATAATAAGCAGCTTCATTTTAATAATCAAGTTGAAATCCCCCTGAATCAACAATCGATTCAAAAATAATCTGCCTATGAAATTATGCGGTTACATGATAGTTCGGTAGAATGTATTTACGCTATTCATAATTTAGGGATTATTGAAATTGAAATTGAAATTGAAATGTATTTATTTAACCAAAAAAAAAACATTACATAATTAAGCAATACACTGGTTTCTGCACTAAGCTCTAGGCTTGTATCGCAGGAACCAAGAACCTTGACTGACACCGTTTACACCGATAAATACATAGAACTCCGATTAAACTATAATAAAGCGAAAAAATAAATCTTTTTTTTTTTTTCTTCTTCTTTTTTTTTTTCTTTTTCTTTTTTTTATATAAATTAATGCATGAAAGAAAGAAAAAAAAATAGCTAATTTACTCTAGGAGTGCTTGTGTGCGTGCGAACGTGTGTGTGTGCGTGCGTGTGTGTGTGTGGTGTGTGTGTCTGTGTGAGTGTATTTGTGTGTGGGGGGGGGATCGTGATTGCGCGTGTGTGTGAGTGAGTGTAAGTCTACGCGTGTGCATGTATAGGGTCAACTAAGAAAGGAAAGTAAGTTTTCCGTTTCCTGATAAGAAGCATGTAGCAGCCAGGTTGTTATTTTGTGTTTGACTTTACTTGTGGGCAAAGACCTCAAATCAGGGAAGAGACAGCAGAATTTGTTGTAAATGCTAGGCAGAAGAAATGGTGAGTGGCGTTTGATAAAGCTACTGTGTGAGTTGGGAATCGGCACTCGAAAGATCCGACGTTGGCACAGGCTAAGGTAATTCGGGGAATTTATTATTTTTCTGTGGGTTAGTATTACTGCCTTTAAAATGTAGATTTGGCGAACCCGTAGTACCTTACATTCCTTGTACAGTTCGTCAGTAGGAAATCTAAAGTTTTTAGACAGCATTACTTTTAGTACTGCGCGCTGGGCCCTCTCGACTTCAAGCATTTTTGATTTGATAGCTCCACCCCAAGCCAGCGTGCAGTAGTATAGAAGGGATTGGGTTAGTGCTTTGTAAACCATTTTCATTGTTTCTTTAGTAGCACAACGTCGTAAAGCTTTCATTATGTAAATGGTTTTCCTAACACTACCCGACAAGCGGCTTAGATGGTTTTTAAATGATAGCTTATCATCAATGATCACTCCTAGATACCTGATGTTATCTGTGTTGCTGATTATATTACATCCGCAAGAGGGTACTTCAGATACACAAGTGTGAATTACTAAGTTTACCAGCGAAAACGGTTTTGATGCGAGAGTTTTGTGAAAGGCTATGAACTTAGTTTTTTTATAGTTTAGAGTTAGTAAATTGGAACTTAACCATTTATTCAACACTACCATGCCTTTTTGAGCCGTCTCGAGTACGCTGTCCCAACTTAAATCATTAAATATAATGGCTGTATCATCCGCATAGCATATGACGTCTGCTCTTTGTATGGGTAATTCTAGGATGTCATTAATGTAAATGCAGAATAGGATTGGACCAAGAATACTTCCTTGAGGAACTCCAATACTGATTTTTAATTGCTTACTTGTATGTGAGCCCACTCTTATGCATTGACGCCGATTTAAGAGATAGCTACGAAACCAAGCCAACGCCACTCCTCTAATTCCTTTTGTTTCAAGCTTCCGCAGCAGAATAGGGACCGAGACGGTGTCGAAGGCCCTAGCAAGATCTAGGAAGATACCTAAACAGCTGCGTTTATTGTCCAAATGTCTAGACACAGTATCTGTCAGTAGAACTACCGCATCCTCCGTGGACTTACCCCCTCCTGAAGCCAAATTGATTTACAGAGAGCAGATTATTATTTTCTATAAAGTTGGTGAGACGTTTGCTTACGATTTTTTCCAATAACTTGGAAAATATACTTAGCAAAGATATGGGCCTGTAATTACTAGGACAGTTTTTATCCCCATCTTTGTGTATTGGAGTAACAACTGCTAATTTCCAACAATTAGGAAAAACGCCACATAACAAGCTAAGATTAAATATGTGGGTAAGTGGATGCAGAACTATGTGTTTTATCTGTTTAATCAACCTTGGGGTGCAGCTGTCTATACCCGGTGCAGTATCGTTTTTTAGCTGGTCAATAAGCGTACCAACTTCATAAGGATCCGTTGGCTGCAGAAAGAGGGAGTCCTTGCAAAGCACTCTTGGTTTGTATTCTGCAGCTAACAGGTCTTCTTGGGTGTTTAATCTTCTGAGCGTGTCATCAGCCAGTTCTCTGCCAACTCTAGTGAAGTACTCGTTACAAGCGTTTAAAGAAGAATCAGGGTCTTTGTCTACGGACAACAATTCATTAGCCTCGGTAGTGTTGCGTGTGAGATTACATATATTTTTGAGCGTTTTCCACAACTTTTTTTGGGTTATCTTTATTTTGCTGAATTTGATTATTCTCGTATTCGGTCTTTAATTTTCGTTGTAGCGCGTAAAGGAAGTTTCTGTATCGTTTATAAGTGATTTGGATAAGTGTATTATCAGGGTTTCTCCTGGCTTCGAGATGCAGATTGTCACGGTGTTTTTGGCATTTCATTAAGCCTGGAGTTATCCATGGCTTTATAACTCGATCTGACCGTTTGGGCACCACATAACTTGTGTTTTCGTTTATTGCCATTTCTAAGATTGTGTTAAAATTATCAGCTGCCTCGTTAGCATCTTCCATATTCATTATCAATGACCAATCAGTCGACTCAAGCTTGTCAACAATTCGATTAAAATCCATTTTGACCTTACCGTGGATTCGAGATGGGTGATTCGCCTGGTTGATGGTAGTACCAAGTAAACAAATGTCATGATCAGTAAGATCTGCATGGCACACTATACCAACAGCAGAATCTGTACCCCTAACGAAGATGTGGTCCAGGCAGGCCGAGCCCCTGGTAGGCTCCGAGATAGCAGAGAGCAGTTGATGACTTGCTAACAAGCATAGATACTCGGAGCACTGATCATCAAGTGGGTCTCCGTTTATATTTATATTTAAGTCACCTGTCAACACCACGGCATGCTTGTTGTTAATTTCCGATAATGATTTATCGAGAAAGGTTTTAAGATTAACACAAATACTTGGGATCATTTGCTTGTCCATGTGTTATTAAAAAAACTGGACCCAGATATCTTTAAGTATAATAAAGAAGCATGGAAGTCTTCGCAGAAGTTACCGAAATGCATAAGAAAGCGCAGGAGAGTGTTCATCTTCGAAACCAACCATTAATTTTAGATTATCATCATCACCTTTTGCGATCAAGAATAGTTATCGAGACAAATATAAGAATAAAACTTATCATATTCGTACTGTAAAATGTCCAATATGATTTATACAATATTACAATATGAATTGTAATAATTATGACCTATTTCAGTGTATGAAAAATTTTACAGTATGTCACCTGAAGCTAAGTTGAAGGCTATTGCGAAACGTGTGTAAAATTGTCTGTATAAGCATCACGATAATTGGAGTATTTCCAATAAAAGATGTAAAAACTGTAATGGCTAATATAACTCATTGTTACTCGAGGCATTTTCGACCAAGTATGCCCACTGTTTCTAATCCTAACTTCACTCATTAAGCAACACATCGTAAATCATGTAGCAGAGGATGATGAGAAAATATTACTTACTGCGGTATTGCTAAAAATAATATTAAGTGATGGTGCATACATCATTTTACTTGCTCTTCTAGATCAAGGATCAGAGATATACTCAATATCAGAAAATGCAGCTCAAATTCTTGGACTACAGCGACAGAAATACAACAAGTCGGTATCAGGAATTGGCAAACTTGCTAAGCAAAGTAAAAGCATAGTTAGGTTATGTTACTCGATTTATGGCGGTGACTTAAGTCATATCAAAAGTTTCGTATAATTTACCCGACAGTTCATTTAAAAAGCGCTAATTAAGGCTGAGGACCCCTGCCAAATCTCATTCGTTTGCACGTTTGTAGCAACTCCATCGGGGTTAAGCGTATGCAGTAAATAAAGTTGATAATTAGTTTTGTTACATACAACATGAGCGTAAATAAATAATTGTAGTTAGTTAATAGGAAATATCATTGTAATAATCTTACTCTAACTCTGTTGGAATAAATAAATAATTTTGTTGAAGTCTGTTCGTTACCTTAATTGGCGCAACCGGTTGGGACTTGTAAGACCAAGTATTATTTACTGGCGAATAAAGTTTTTGCGGAAAATTAGGTCGTACGTCTTGATGTTTTGATCGGGTGGAAACGAACATACAAATTTATTGAAGAGCGGACCAACTTCGAGGATGGAGTACCAATTTTTCAGAAGAAGCATGGGGAAAATTGAATTAAATTTTCCTATCCTTCTTATTTTCCTATTTTTGTATGTTTATATTCTGGGTTTTGTGGGATTAATTACGTCAAATTACTAGATATTAAAAATTAATTAATTTTTTTTAATAGTTCAGTAATTGAGATATTTAAATTACTTCATTCAATCTGGTGATTCATAATATACGGTAATTTATACGTGGTAGAGCCGTGCTGTAGTTATGGGTTGGCTTGACCGGAAAGAACCACGCTCTCACAGAATATCAGCGTAAAATAGTTGCATAATGCTGCTGTGTTTCGTATGGTCTCCATACGATGTGTTGCTTAATATTTTGTATATTATCGGCCATCGGAGAAAAGTTTGTGGCAAGCGCACAAGGGAATACCTGCTCCCCTCTTTACTTAAAGAACTTCCTCTCACTTTTTAAATAAAATAAAATATTACAAAAGATAAATAGCCAAAAGAACACTAAAGGAGTTTCTGATCAAATAACTAGATGGTCGGAATGGAATGTTATGTGTACATTGTATTATTATAGGTTATATTATACTATTTAGGTTGATATTTTGATAGTATTTTAGATGATAACATAATTACTGTAAATTGCATGTATTCGTATAATGTCTGATGTATTTATACCGATTTATCTCAAATTTATATATTTATCATACTTATTAACTATTTTAGAGATTAGCTTATTAATATAAGTAAAGTAAAGTAAAGTAAAGTAAAGTTATACGTCCCACTGCTGGGCACAGGTCTCACCTCATTTCTGAGAGAGTTTTAGGGCAAGGAAGTGTCCGCCGCACTGCCCTAATGCGTGTTGGCGAACTTCGAAAGACATGTGAATGTCTTAGAAATGTTTTTTTTCTTATTCCTCAGACATGCAGGTTTCGTCATCATCATCTTCATGATGACTCGTGAAGGCCTGTAATGATGATAATGATGTTGAAACACAAACGATATCAAAAACTTATTTCGTGTTGCCGTTACTGTTACGGTTATAGTCGATTTAATTCGGCGCATTACGTATTGCGTTTAAATTAAATTAAATTAAATTTCCTCATGTTGTTTTCTTATATCTACGCGAATACTATGAATGTTATTTAATTTCAATAGTCTAACTCATTTGTGGTCTATCAAATCTGATGGGCTGTCTTAGTATGACTACTGAGTATTAAACCGGCATTTTATGATATAATTAAATACTTTTTACATATCCCCAGTCTTCTTATTTAATAAAACCTTTCTGAAACGTTTATTACATACATTTTTCATGATACCATCTGTTACTTTAAATAATTAAATTTTTATATTTTAATACTAATTTTCAACAATGCTAGTTACTCATGTGAGTTGACAAATTAATTTCTACAACACTCTCAAGAACATATAGGAGGATGTTGCTATCCCTTTCTAATATTTATATATATCTTATTCTAATATATAGTACTGTTTCCTTCTAGCATCTATCTGTCTGTATGTAACTTATTACCGCTAACTTCCAAACTCCGATCTGCTACTGAGAATTTCTTGACAGGAAAACTGAAAAACACAATAATTGATTTTGCCCCGACCCCTGATTCGAGCCCTCATGATCAGCACCTGCATTTACGACCACTAGACGAACGAGGCAGTTATTCGCTCTGTCAACACTACTATTACCATTAGAGTCTATCAAAAGTCCACTGCTGAACTTAGGTCTTCCCCATTGGTTGCCTTTTATGGGGGAATATTTCCCATAGTTTTCTATTGGTAAGAACCTGTTATTGGCTTCTTGTAAATTTAATATGTTATTTACTTAATATTTGTAAGCTGTTGGTTATAACCAATAACATGAAAATATAATAGAAATATTAGTTACCACACTAAAGCAGGTTGGCAACTGCATTTTTTTATTCAGCTGTTATCAGGAAGATGCTGCTGCCCATCCTCTGGTACAGTTTGCCTCTGTCGTCTCTTACGACAATCACGGGATGATAGTAAGGCATGGATATTCTTTCGTGACAACTCTATGGGCCGCAGCATCCACTTACGAGTACCATCAGGTGGATATTGTTTGTAACCCTTATTGTTTTAAAATCCGACAATGTCATGATGTGTTTAGGACTACTTATAAATAACCTATTTTGAAAGTCTCTCTACGATATGATACAAACCTATATCTCGGGCCGTATGTGCATGTCCAATAAATCTCATAAAATGAAAATAATTACAACATCGGCTTATCTGATTTATAACGCTATAAATTTTTTAATTTCCATTTTGAAAACGTTTTTGGTTTTGTTTCATACCTCCAAAAGTTTCAACTGTAAACTTTTCTATCAAAATAGTTACATTACATCGAGATTTAAAGGCTATAAAGTTTAGAACAAGAATAATATTTAAATTAATTTTTTATAATGATTTCTTAAATTTACGCGAACACTACACATTGAATAAAACTATTATTTACGGATTTTATCGCGTTTAATTCAACTTTAATTTATTTTTATTATCCCGACGTTTCGACTACGCCCCAGTGAGAGATACAGCTGGCCAATACTTAGCAAAAATACTATCACCACTGAGAGAACATACCAGAGCACACACGAAGGATTCATACCATTTTGCAGTATAAAAGACCTATATCTCGCTGACAATGAAACTATGGTCAGTTTTGATGTTCAGTCACCATTTACATGCCTACCTATTGTTGACTGCATCTCAATTGTAACTAGGAAGCTAGAAGAAAATAACATGCCTCAATAATATGCAATATTACTTGAACACTGCCTCACATCTGGCTATCTATTGTGGAAGGAGGAGTTCTACAAGCAAGTAGATGGTGTGGCGATGGGCTCACCTGTGTCTCCCATAGTCGCCGACATATTCATGGTGGACTTTGAGGAGAAAGCCCTTCTTACTGCTCCTGTAAATCCAAGGTTCTACAAGCGGTACGTAGACGACACTTTCACAATTTTACCATCTGACAAAGTAACTGCATTTTTAGACCACCTTAACTCCATAAACTCTAAAATACAATTCACAATGGAGTTAGAGGCAAATAATTCTTTAGCCTTCCTAGATGTTTTAGTCATCCGTAATTCTGATAACACTATTGGACACACTGTGTATAGAAAAAAGACCCATACCAACCGATATCTAAATGGCGAATCTCACCATCATCCTTCACAGTAAGCTACCGTGGGTAAATCTTTGTTTCAGAGAGCACGAGGGATCTGTGACAGAAAACATCTGGCCACCGAGCTTCAGCATGTCAAGCAAGTATTGTGCAAGACAACAAGCTTCGGGTCCCGCGCCTACGTCACAGAGAACGAGTGAAGCCGGCCACAGTCGAGCGCGCGCCTGTTGTACTACCGTATGTTAGAGGAGTCACAGACAAGATTGGCTACATCTTGAAGCGAGCGTCCATTAAGACATACTACAAGCC